CGCAAAATAATTAAAATCCTAAATCAAACGCGGACGAAGTCAAGGGGAACATCTAGCTTTTTAATAAAATGCAATTTAAAATTGCATTTATTTCTTCTTAAATGACATACAAAATAATGAAATTATTTTAAAAATTAAAAATATTTTTAATCTTTGGTATTTACTTCAATTAAATTTGGCTCTGCTCTTGAGCTCTCTTTTAAGTCCATGCAAAAGGTATGATGTACAGGTGAAATGAAATCTAATAAAGTTATGAGATCTTTTTTCTTCTCTTTCGTTAGTGCTCTTCCATCAGGATACAAAGTTTCTAGAACACACTCAACTGGAGATTGCAGGATTGTCAGTTTCTTAAAATATAGAAGGATATTATATACCCAAACAAAGATAACCTCATCATTGCTTGGGTACATAAAATATACAGAATAGGGGTGTCTCGTATACTCTCATTCAATTTGACTACCATCTGTAGTAGTAGTCTTCCCTGTTGATAGTATTTTGTTCTAGTCTTTTGGTAGAATAAAAATCTTGTGCTGTCATTTGAATTACTTTGAATGGATGTCGCTTCCTTCCTGCTAAAACAACTTGTTTCCAATGTGCAGGTTCAAAAATATATACAAAATATTTTTTATCGCGTAAGGGGTCCCAAATCTTGGTCACAAGGAAGTTACAAGTGGCCACTAACAAAAAATTTATGGTTTATTTCTTCGACTGTAAACTATGGGGAACTAATTATATACTGGCCCAGTACAGCCATTTTTCTGTTTATGTTGTTGCCACCGCATTGGTCAGAATACATTATAAATTTTTTTTCGGCACAAATGTTTTTATTAAATGTTCACATCTGCCACTCTCATTCCACATATAAATATAAACATTATTAGAATTAAAGTCATGGATTCCAAAACAATAAGTCCTTAGCTGGCGTTTATAATATGTGATTCCAATGAATAAAACTAGAGTTGGCAATGTAAATGGTCGAAGCATATGATTCCACTTTACTTCTCCTAATCTCAAATCCTTCCAGCGTCAACTTCAACCCAAACAACAGTAACCTATATCGCTTGACTCAGCATGAATGCCACTGTTGTACAGCCACAACTGGCATTTATAAAAAACTATGTTCGTAGGAATTATGGGAAGTGATAGAGTTTTTTCCATTCACATATTCCATAACGTTATCTTCATTTGTTTTCTTCATTTCCAATGTGAACTCACCATTTAAAGTATTGTAAAGCTCAAAAGCGCTTGGCGACATGGCAGGCAAAGGTGAAAAAATTTCACCTCCTTCCATGCAATCATATACATATATAATATAGCTGCAGCGTGGCTCTACCACATGCAAAATTAATACTTTTACGAAGAAATTGCAATCGTGACAATGAATGCAAAACATACAGCCCGAATTTTGAGACTTTTTCAAAACGTTTACATCCAGCAGTGCTGCAAGCATCATAAAGTTCTAAACAAAAATCGGTAAAAGTAGAAAAAAATGCAACAGTCCCTAAAAATTTGGGGGGAAAACTCCTAAGTTTAGAAAATTAAGAGTGGTTAGAGGGCAACGACAAGATGATACCGGAATAGGAAAGCAGCTGGAGGGATAACACCGCGCATGTAGTATTAAAAAAATTGCCAAAATAAAAGTTAGTGTATGCATCTGTGACAGAGATGCGCATAATAGTGCGTTTTAAAGTGATGGAATATGACATTACATTTCATACCAAGGAATGTTACGTTATACCATGACTCCAAACATGACACGAAATGACGCGCAACAGGATGGCTATTGAAATGAAATGCTCGCGTTGTAGAAGATAATATGCTTGCATTGTGATGTGTGTCGCTACTCGCTGCGCCGAAATGTACACTTGATTTCATAAAGTCGATTTTTCTTCACACTTTATCGCTATCTACTGAACTATTCAATCATAATGGTATTCCGGGCTTGACTGGCAATAAACTTATAGAGCAAGTTTTGTTTTTATTTACATGGTATTTACATTTTTAATTACAATTAATAAATAATAATCTTCAGACATTCAAGAAAGTGATAGAGATAGCACGAGATGTAACGGCATCGTAAAAACATAAAATTGAGTAGCGTTTGAATATTTAGTCAATAGAGTCATTAAGTGCGAGAGTCATGGTTTAAACATTACTAGGCGGTCCGCAGTGTCAATAAAACGTTAACATTATAACATGAATGATGCGGTTCCAATTCTAAATAATAGTTCACTTATTTCTTAGCCCACTGACCGGTGCATGCTCACTTACACAGCGATGATTAACGAGATAATACGGACATCGAGCAAAGCGCTGCGCGTCTTGTTTGAGTGTCATGTGCCATGTTTGATTTGGTCGAGTCGTGTGTAATGCTACAGTACGCGGTCGGGTTATATGACGCGTTATACAACAATCGCATTACTTACACGAGTCTAGTCTGTGAATCACAGGTCGTTAGTTAGAGAATAAAATAGGTCAATATTTAGAGAATAAAATAGGTTAATATTTTGAGAATAGAATAGTTTTTATTCAATATTGATTACGTGATACTTAGAAATGAGGATATCCGCAGTAGAACCAGAGTGACCGACATAGCCCAACGGATTAGTAAGCTGAAGTGGCAGTGGGCTTGCCATATAGCTCGAAGAACCGACAACCGATGGGGAAGAAAGGTTCTTGAGTGGCAGCCTCGTACCGGTAGGCGAAGTGTAGGGCGACCCCCACGAGATAGAGTGACGACCTGCTAAGACATGCAGGAAGTCGATGGATGCAGGTGGCTCAGGACCGTGCTTTGTGGCATTCCTTGGGGGAGGCCTATGTTCAGCAGTGGAATTATGAAAGGCTGTAATGATGATGATGATGAATATTGATTACAAGTAATTTTTATTGAAGGTAATTTTTTTACTTTACCACTGGTTCGAAAAAAATCCTCTGTCCTGGGAAGAACCAGCAAGAAACCCAGCGGGACTTTTTTTTAAATAAATTTGCAATACAAATATTTACAGATTACAAACTATTTACAAAATTTATTTTAGAAACAACTTGGAAGCGACCACCTCATTCTCAGGGGTTATTATCAACCATGTATTCATTTATATTATAATAACCTTTTTTATACAGCTTTTGTTTAAATAAATTAAATATGTGAACTTGTTAATAAATATATCTTGTATATTTTCTGGGACTTTGTTGTAATAGCGTATACATTGCCCCAAGAACGAATTACTGACTCTGTGGAGTCGAGACCGGTGTCACTAGCTTGTATTTGTTCCTAGTGTTTACAGAGTGTATATCACTATTTTTTACTAAAACTATCTTTGTTTTTGTGAACATACATTCAATTTTCGTAAATATACTGAGAGGCCAAGGTTAATATATTTAGAAAAAACGATGTGTGGGAATAACTGAATACCAGCATAAATTAGCCATTTTTTCAAAAAAACATTGATTTACTCTCAAAGTGGTACGTAAAATAGACACTAAATGTTAAGCCATTTAGGTCACGACTAATTTAATATTAATCTTATGAATCGATTGTGTATTATAATTTTATTCCATATTGTTAATTTTATTTATTTAATAAATTTGTTATTTTTAACTGTTTATTTAAAAAAAGTTATATTAACCATCTTTAAAGCACCGCACAAAGAGACACCAATATAATAGGAAACACCGTATTATACTATACTATATTCTATCTCATTCCGCAGACTAAATCCTATAGATGTATATCTTTGTCTATGTTTTGTGTCGCTTTTTGGTTTCATCGAGTTTCAAATCACAACGATTCTAAAGAAGTTTTCACTTCGAAAAAACGTACTCTGCACTTGCAGGTCCTCTGACTACTGATATTATTATAAACTCAGAAGGTTATGACGGCATTTGTACCAAAATAATTAAGGCCTGCAATAAAGAAATAGGCAGGGTCTTGGCATTTTTAATAGACCTATCAATGGTCTCCTGTATCTTCCCTGATAAACTTAAATTCTCTTTGATTAAGCCTTTGTTCAAAAAAGACAAAAAATCAATTTTGGACAATTACCGTCCTATTGCGATCGTACGAATTTTGTCAAAAGTATATGAAAAAATTATGAATATTAGAAAATATTATTATATTATGAAAAAATATTAGCCTTCGATTTTGTGTCACATAATTTACTTTTGGAAAAATTGGAAAATGTGGCATTAGAGGCACTGCTTTAAGTCGGATTAAAACCTACTTGCAAAATAGACGACAATCTGTTGAAAGACTGCAATCTGTCTGACCAGATTGCAATCATGTGGTCCTAAATTACATATCAGATTTTAAAAAAAGCAATTATGGAGTTCCACAGGGCAGCATTTTGGGACCACTGTTGTTCTTAGTCTATATAAATAATCTTCCGGATGTAGCTAAACACAAATGCATTTTATTCGCTGACGACATATCTATAATAGTGAAAACAGATGGTAAACAATCTCTAAAAGACCATATTAATGACATTAATAGTACAGTAAAAACAATCATAGAATGGCTTAAAAATAATAATCTAATTATAAATCTTGACGTAACTTATTTTATAAATTTCAATGACATATTATACCAGACAATGAACATAAATTTTGAAGGACAAAACCTAAAAAGTACAAATATGACAAAATTCCTAGGTATATGGATAGATCAAAAATTAAATTGGAAAAGTCAAGTTGAAAATGTTTGTAAAAAAAATAATAGATTTTCGTACGCTCTTTACAAACTACGCAAAGTAGCAACAAAAAAATACAGCACTTACTGCGTACTTTGCCTATAATAGCATTGTTAGTATTTTATTATAAAAAAAATGTATTATTTTATTGTAAGTTGTAATTATAATTGAAAATGTAATATTAAAAAAAAAAACAGATTTTCTTGACGATTCTTTTCGGAGGTCTTGTTTTTGCATACGGATGTAGATTTCGACGTTTATAAGAACTTTAAACGATCTTAAATTGAACAAAAGTTTTTGAATTTGTCTGTGTAGCGGATACATACGAACCGTTTGCGGCGATTGCGAGCAAGGCGTCGTCTCACTCCACCCCCCCAGACGGGGGAGTGTCCTGTCTGCAACGCATCGTTGCCTGTCTCGAGGCTTCAGAGGCACGCGCTGAGATGTTTGAAGAGGACAGGAGCGGAAATGGACGATGATGTACCTGACACGAGCTCCGAAGAAGGCAGCATTGATGTGGGGGTTCGTAGAAAATTTATGTTGCTTGCAATTACTCATAATTTCTCATAATACAAGTTGACGTGCTATTTTTGTCGTAACTAATATAAAGCTAGTGTTAAAAGATTTTTTTTAAAGAAGTATGTGTGGTAAACAGGCTCACAGTCCACCTAATTGGAAGTGATTGCTTATGACCCATAGACACCTATATATATTTATATCCACGATTAAGAATCAAAATGCACATACACATAACCAGTGAATAGTTAATGTGGTAGAGCCATGCTGCAGCAATGTCATTATTGCAGCATGAATGGGTGTGCCTATGGGTATTTTTGGTATCTTTTAATAGAGTTTAGTCTCTTAACGATATATTGATATCTTTGTTACTATTTAAATAAAATTAATTTTACAGATTTTATCGCGTATATTACCTTATTTTATATTCCCGACGTTGCAAGCACTTTACAGCACCCATGGTCATGGGGGGGGGAGGACAATTTTGTTACTAAACCAACGTTTTAATATTTTATCTTTGTGTTATTATTGAAGTCAAACTTCTTAATCGACGTAGTGTAGATATGAAGAACGGTATTTAATAAAAATCACGTTTTCTTTTAACCTTTCACCGCCTGAGCTGCATGAGTATACTCTTATTTAACTATAATATAAAAGTAGAATTATATGTCGTAAAGAAGTTTCACTTCGTACATGTGTGTTTTACACGCACAATTTTTTTCTTATTGTACAATTCATTTGAAGTATTGTTAATATTAGATACTTTAGTGTTGAATCCCGTTTATCATAGTTGCAACTTCATCTTTATATCTACTAGTGAGGACATTTAATGGACTTTTTTTTATTATGTACGAGCAGCTATGCAGGTCTAGGGAGACCAGGATCACTGCGACCTAAAAGATCTATTGTGATCACTGCTATTGTCTATAGTTCACTGCTAAGCCCTACGTCCTCAATGAATAGTAGGAGTTGCATAACTGTGACTGTGAGTAATTTCACTTCTTGTGGGCGAAGTTTCCCAGATGCGTGCTACGTTTACGCATTAAGGGTTCGCAATCCGTCAGGATGTATAAAAGCGTTTCCTTCTCTAGGGAGCAAAACCGGCACACTTGAGTTGCTTAGTCCCAGGATGAACGTGCTTTTTAAGACAACAGTGTACAGTCAGAGCTCTTACCAGAATGTGCAATTTATTTTTACCTAATCGCAGGTCTTCCGAAGCGAATTTACGATCGAAAGCCCGCATTAATTATGTGTTAAGCCTGGTGTATCAGACCAGATCTTAAGTGATCCAGGGTCTATCGGGCGAGGCTTTTTGAGATTCCACGAAATTGCTCGGGTCCAAATTGTGTACCCTTTGAGCCCTCCCATGCGAGCTTGTCGGCAGTTTCATTGCCTACAATACCCGCGTGACCCGGAACCCTTCTTAAAACGACCCTGTTGTTACCTGCCAAGGCGTTTAGACGGTTCACGCAATCTCCAACTAGCTTCGAGTTTACCAAGTTTGATCGTAGCGCTAGCAATGCTGCTTGACTATCTAGAGTTAATAAAAATTATATAGTTAACGTAGTGTTTTTGCAGACTGATTTCCGCACACTGAAGTATGGCAAAAATTTCTGCCTGTAAGATAGAGATGAATCTTCCCAAATTCATACTAAGTTTGAATTTGGGGCGTTCCCCATACATTCCAAAGCCTACGTCGAAGCCCATTTTTGACCCATCGGTATACCATATGAGGCTACCGACATCACAGATGACCCTGTCTATTCAGCCAGTCTTCTCTGGAGGGTAGTTCCACTGTATACTTTTTGTTGAAAGTATATAATGGACGCATGATATCTGAGATCATGCATAAGACCGGTGTTTCCTTAATTGGTCGAACATGGATATCAATCTATAGGAAAGCAAGCTCAAACCGCCCTGAGTGTTAATCCTATACAAACTAGCCCTCGCCTCCTTGTCTAAGTAAAGATCAAGGGCCTAGAAGTGCATTAAGTGCCGCTCCAGGCGATGATCGAATCGCTCCAGTTGCCATTAAGCAGGCAGTCCTTTGTAGACTATTTAGTCTGTCCGCAGTTGTCTTTTGGTTGGCCTTATTACACCAGACAGTGCAGATGTATGTAAGAATCGGCTCACTATACTGCTGTACAGCCATAGGATCATACTGGGAAGCAAGCCCCAGTTGTTCTCGACCATGCGACTGCACGTACCTAAAGCAATTTTCGCTTTATGACATACGTTGCTAAAGTGAGAGTTCCACATTAGTTTTTAGTTGATTGTTACGCCCAAGTACTCAACTTCAGTGGAGAATGGTACTTCTTTACCATTAAGTTTTGGTGTGACTAATTTGTCCAACGGTCTCTTTTTGGTAAAGGATATTATAACATTTTTTTTATTTATTTCAACAAAGTAACAGTTTTAAGTACAATTTAATTTCTTCGTGCCATTAAACACAATTGTGTTTGTCTTGGCACTGCACAGTTTGCTCTAATATGTTATTTTACATATATTTTGCTCTATGTTATTATACTTTTATTTACATAATATTGAAATTAACCTTTACTTAACCTAAATATAAAGTACCATTTTACAATTGTGTGAAAGAATATTAAACATTTTTTGTATTTACATAATTTTATGTAAACTTTATAGTAGATATTTCTTAAACTATATTTTTTTGTGGAGAGGGTAGTTTTTGATATTGTTTACAAGAAATAATGAAGCAAAAATTTGAATGTTATTGTCTTCGATTGTTCAACTCGCCTATACACTATACTGCAAATTAATTACGCGCGTACACACGGAATGCATTTTTAACGACTAGTTTTTTTTAATGTAATTTATTTGTTTACACGTTTTGTTTATTTGTCCGTTTTTTGGCAATATATTTGCATAGATAAATATAGATTATCATTTAAATATTTTTTTAAGAATTCTAATTATATAAAAAATGTTTAAGTTTTGTTTTTATGTTTTGTGATGTTAGTTGGCTTCTTAATTCTGTAGGTATAGAATTTAACAGGTATGGTATTAGAAATTTACGTGTTCTCTTACCGTAGTAATTATTCGTTCTGATTAGTGAATAAGGTGTTGTATTTCAAGTGTTATAATTGCGTTCTCTTGGGGTTGGGTCTATCGAGTACTCATAACATTCTTTCAGAAGCATATATTTCACCCTTTTATGTATGGGTAAAACATTGCAGGACGTGAAAAGGTATGAGTAGTCATTCCGATATTTATCCTTGATGTGTTAAGGCAAAATAGATTTTAACAGTCTTATTTGTAAGCTGTATATTTTATCTAGATAAGTGCGGAAAGTTCACCCATAGCTACTAAGACCATATGACACTATTGATTCCACTAAAGCATTATATAGGCTTAAACGAATTTTAAATGGAACTGTATTACGAATAATATGAAATTTCGCTAGGACTGCTCTTAATTTACTACACACGTAATCAATATGATTCTTCCAGTTCATCGTATCGTCTATGACCAGTCCTAAGTATGTGTGATATTTAACAACTGGAATTTTTTCACATTATATTGTGCAACAAGTTACAAGTTATTATATTGTGCAGAGAGAGATGATTATGGGCAATAATACTGATTGGCCTGATGTTTCTGATGTGACTTGAGTGAATGTGTAGTATCTTGGTTTTTTGTATATTTATTATAAGTGTGTGGGCTGTGTGGCTTCCCCGTGGTTGTTCAACCTATTTATGGACAGTTGTTTGGAATTTTTTTTTTTATAGGATAAAGGTGACAAACGAGCACACAGTCCACCTGATGGTAAGTGGTTGCTGCGGCCCATAGACATCTACATTTATCCTCTGTTACAAATCAAAATGTAGATGCGTTGTTACCCGTGAGGACTAAGATGGAATGCCTCATTTCCAGTAAAAAGGGCCTCCGGCCACCTGCGCTCACCAAGCGAAACGCAGAGGTAAACCTCTACTTCACGCTGGTTTTCTGTGAGGTCGTGGTACTACCCCGGTTCGAGCCGGCCCATCCGTGTGACAGCAAAAGCTGCCGCGTGGCTCTACCACTGTTAATATAATTTGAAAGTAGAAGAATGCGAGTTAAGAATGGGTGAGTTAACCGTCAAATGCCTTTTGTACGCCGATGATCAAGTCATACTTGCATCGTCGGCAGCCGAGTTGCAAATGATGGTTACATTAATGAACAGGACATTAAAAGAAAAGGGAATGAAAGTGAACGCAAGTAAGACGAAAGTTATGGTTTTTGAAAGAGAAGAAAGTAAAACGATATGTGAAATAAGAATAGAAGGGGAGTTGGTAGAGCAAGTAGATGAGTTTGTATATTTGGGATGTGTGTTTAGCAGGGATGGTAGAAAGACGAGTGAATGCAGGAAATAGAGTGAATGGGGCTCTACACTCTATTGTGAAAAGTCAGAATGTGTCCAAAAAAGCACGTATAGCAATTCACAATGCTGTGTTAGTACCCACTTTAATGTATGGTAGTGAAAGTTGGGTGTGGCAGAAGAAGCACGAGAGTAGAATAAATGCTGTAGAAATGCGGTCATTAAGGAGCATGTTAGGGATGAATCTGAATGACAGAGTGAGAAATTGTTTAATAAGAGAAGAGTGTGGTTTGCAAGATGTTGTTGTGACCAGGATTAAGAAAGGAATGCTTCGGTGGTTTGGCCATGTAGAAAGAATGAATGAGGAAAGAGTGACAAAGCAAATTTATGTTGCAGAGGTGAACGGCATAGTCGGAAGGGTCGCCCTAGGCGAAAGTTTATCGGCCAAATTGGCGATATATTAAAAATGGGCCAAATCAAGAGTACCTTTAACTGACGAGTGTGTATGCGTAAGTATATGGATGTGGAGGAAGCGAGAGAGGTGTGTCAGGATCGTGCCAAATGGAAGTCCATAATCTCTGCCTACCCCTCTGGGTGACAGGCGTGAGTGTTTATGTTATGTTATGTTATTATAAGTCCTAGGTAGTGTGCCCACATAGAGGCGTGAAAAATCATCTTGTAACAGTTGCATAGCTATTTACACATTTTTATCTTCTGACAGAAGATAAAAATGTGTAAATTATAAATATTCTGACAGAAGACACGTATCATCTGCGTACTGGTATAAACTACATTTTTTTATTATATTTTCTAATTCATTTATGTATGTTAAGTAATGGAGTGGCCCTATAACTGAGCCTTGTGCCATGCCTGTGGTCATAGGTATTTTAATACTTAAATTATTTTCTATCTTTACTTGGAAATATCGATTGCTCACATAGTCTTTACACCATCTTAGGAAGGGTCCTCTAACACCAGAGTTTTCAAGTTTTCTTAGAAGAATGTCATGTTTTAAGGTATCAAAGGCTTTACTAAAATCAATGAAAGCAATTAATACATGCTTTTTCTCATCTAGAAATTTGTTTACTTCGTCTGTAAAGTTTGACAGTAACTGTGTAGTAAATTTTTTGTGACTGATATCCGGTATTGAGATGCCTAAATAATTTTATGTTTTTGAAAATAGTTATGAAGCTGGTTGGATGTGAATTTTTCTATAATTTTGTCAATTATTGGGATTATAGTAATAGGTCTGTAATTATTGTAATCGTCTTGATGTCCACTTTTGTAAATAGGTCGTACCAAACCTAATTTTAAATTTGTAGGATAGATGCCTGTATTTATACTACTGTTAATTAACTTGACAATTACTTTAGCATTTTTTTCTGATATAGTATCTGATATAAGACCCGCTGGGTTTCTCGCTAGTTCTCCCCAGGGTAAGTTTTTACCCGAACCAGTGGTAAAGTAAAAAATGACGTTCATTAAAATATAAATATAATATATATTGGATAAGAACTTATTGTATTCTAAACTATTCTTCAATAAATTCTAGAATGATGAGCCGTCGGGTGGCAGTTTCGGGGCGGAGTACCAGTGGTGTGGGGAGTGGAGGGTCAGGGCTGCAGCGCTACAGGCGGCCGAAGGGAGAGTCGCCACATGCGTTCGGAGGGCTTCAAATGATCAAGCTCTGGTGAGTACATTCTTTATATAGGACTAGCGTACCCGGCCCGGCTTCGTCTGGGTAGTATTTTTTTTTTAAAGAATAAGGGTGAATAAACAAACACACAGTCCACCTGATGGTAAGTGGTTGCTGTGGCCCATAGACACCTACATCTATCCTCAATTACGAATCAAAATGCTGATGCGTTGTGAGCCGTGAAGACTAAGATGGAATGTCTCGTTTCCAGCAAAAAGGGTCTTCGGTTCTCTACACTCACCACACCATACCATACGCTGGTATTCTGTGAGAGTCCTTGGTGGTACTTTCCCGGTCGAGCCTACCCGTTTGTGCTACAACCGTAACATACTTGCAGTATGGTTCTGCAACGTAAATATATTAACATTTAGTGTCTATAAATGTGGCGTTATTTAGATTTAGGATTGTCATAGACCATTTATTTTATCATTTTTTTAATATCCATAATTTTTGGATATAATTTAGTCTAGATTAGGGCATCCAATCTTGCACGTTATTTGTAAACTCGGTATTTGCGGGATTGATGATTTTCGGTCCCGCTGAATTAAAAGTAAGTGTAGGTAAATGCTACATGAGCTGAGTCGCCTATTTTTAATGAGCGTTGTGTAAAGTATAGAGGTATTTATATGTTAAAAATAAAAATCGGTAAGTAGGATAGGGCGGGGTTAGTTTAGCAATTTTTAACTTGAGTGGTCATAGCTCCTTAACGATAAGTCTTAATGGCTTGTTATGCGTACTTGATGGGTAAGTAATTTATGCCTTTTCAAAATTGTCCATAGTAATATATTTGTAACAAATCGCATTTAAGAGCTACAAGTGATGAAATCAAAGATGCTCAACGTATTCCATAGGTAAGGTAAGTTGAGCAAGGTTATGGGGTAAATTGAGCAGTTAGAAATTCTAGCTAAACCACGGGGTCAAAGTTTACTAGATATGAAATAAAATTTCTGTTATACAATCAACTTTTGATTGTACTTTAGTGACATAACAGTGATACTAAAAGTTATTTTCTTTCAATATTAATCAAAAAATAGAATCAACAAAAACTCAACCTGATATCTTAATATTAACTTATGAATTATAACTGTCTTTCTACTTAAAATAAGACTTGAACATTTATATAATTATCAATAAAGCTTCTATTAAAAAAGAATATATTAATGATATCTTGGAAACTTAATCATCGGTGTCTGTTGCAATGAATGCAAACGAAAGTAAAACCAGCAGCTGGCGCACATTTTATACGTGCCCATTCCCTGCAAACTTGGCACTGGATCCGTTTCCCTTGGTAAACTTTCGGAATAGCCTTCGTAACAAACCAGGCAGGAATAGTCATCATCATCATCTTTGCTTTCCTCACTTGACTGGAAGAACTTTTTAGAAATACTCTCCTTTCTTTTATTTTATCAATGTTCTCCTTGGGCTTCTGAACTTTTTTATTGGTTTTATCTTGTTCCTCTTGCAATGCGCTCTTTTCGGGAGTGTCTGTTAGAATAGAAGCTTTCCTCTTTCTTCTGATAGTTTTGGCTGCTTTTCTTGGACCTGCCTTTGAGTGTGGTCGAACAGTGTCTGGGGAAATGTTGGAAGCATATTTACTATTTTGCCCTGTTTCGTTTGGCGTCAGTCTCCTAACACTTCGCCAATTACTTTTCGGGCTGCTAAAATATGCCACGTCTAATGGATGCCTTCCAAATGCCACGCAGATGCGTGCTATTTGGAACGAGGCATATAAATTTCACGTTGTTTTCAGCACAACGTTTTAAGGTATTGGAAGTAATATGGGAACTAAGATTGTCTCCAACAACAACCTTTTTTCCTTGTTTTTTCTTTAGAATAGCTCAGCAAGTTTTGCAGTACCTTTTACGCCTGGAACATTACTAATAATATTCTCAGATCGAACTCTAACGCTTTGTCTAGAACAATCTTTTGACCATTTTGTGCCATTTTTGGAAATATAAGAAGTTCCACGTACCTCAGCCGACTGACGACTAGTACCCGCCGGCACGATTCCGGCTCTTCCAAATTAACTGCGTTCTCAACCGAAGCAATTTTGCTCCCCCAAATAGTTTTGTCATATCGTACTGGTTTACAATCCGACTTGGTGGGTGCATTATTTGAAAAGTATTCAACTCTTGTTCAAATATTCTTAAGGGGGTCAATACACAGATGCATCTGGTCAAATGTGGTGAGAGGGGCGAATGGCAAAAATATGATGTCATTTTTGGTCGCAAATTCCAAAGCTGAATAACACTTTTCTGCAACCAATTCAAAAGCTTCTCCATGTATGGTGGAACATTATCTATCATTCTTTCTTGCATACGTTTGCGAGCAAATATAAAAAGGTGAAACAAACGTTCCAGCTACATTATAGCATCATATGACAGCGGTTATTTGACCTTTTTATGCACTGCACAATTTGTCTTTTGGCTTTAATGAACAAACCTTAGGTGGTTTAGATATACTGCTCTTTATTTCAGTCTCGTCCATATTATATATTGTTGTTGCATCGAAATTGTATTTTTCTATCACAATCCAATAATTGGCATAAAATAATTCCACCTGTGGCCTGTTAAAACCTGTTGTCCTTGCCAAAGAAAACTTCGGCGCTTAGTACAATTTCTGGGTGTCGACACTTGAAACCAAAAAACCAGTTGTCTCCAGCATAGAGATGTTCCGATACCATCAAAGTATCGATACCTACTCATATCAGTAGTACTCAAATCATTTTTCGATACTACTCATACAAACACTCCTAATGTATCGATACTTACTGATATCGATACTTTTAGATTTTTTTTAATGAAATTAACATAGCAAATGTTTTAAGCCCCACAACGATCTATTCTGCCCTGCCACTTTAGATAACATCGCATAGTTCCAACCAATGAACTAACGAAATATTATGAACCTAATCTAAGTACCTAACCTAACGAAATTAATTAGTGAAAAGTTGAAGATCCTACCTTTCGTTTGTCCCTTTATCTGCTCTTTTCTGTAATTTGCCTTTATCCACAGTAATTCCATGAGTTTTGTAATGCTTGAATAAATTAAATGTATTGCCACAATATTTCACCGACTTAAAACAATGTTTACATTTAGCAGTTGTTTCGTTTGCTTTGGGAAAATATGTCCATATTAATGATTTTGGTGGTGCCATGATAACATTGGAACAATTTTATTTTTATAAAAAAAAGTTACCCCCACACTAGTATTTTCTCCTGTGTCGTGGAGGCAGTTTGCAAACATAAATTGCACAAGGACAAACATCCAGACCCGGAACAATTATTCGTAGGCCATACAAATACTTGTTCCGTGCGGGATTTGCGAAATCGCAGAATCAGTCAAATTGTGAGCCATTTCAAACAGCAACGAAACACATCAAGTCCAAACAACGATTGAATGAAATAAAAGTAACTGTCACACGTAAATAATGTAATCTACCGGCATACTAATGTAAATAAACAATTATTCTCAAAGTACCTTCAACAATAACACGCTAAGTAATGAAGATATTACTAACATTTATAAATTGTCAGTGTATTCTTAGAATGCAACAAAGCATTATTGTTTGCAAAACACGGGCTTTTCTGACCCGAGGACCTTTTTCATACCCGAGGAACCTAAGACGGAAAAAACTTAATTTTCTTAAGATAAGAGACTTCACCATAATTTTACAATGATAATATATAGTGAATGCATAATTAATAATTGTCATAAAGTCTTAGTAAATTATATTAATAATTACGACTTTTATTGACAGTTAAATTTCAGTTTCGGGTCAATATGACCCGAAGAACCGAGGAAGGTTAAGCACCAGATTTCAAATAAAAAAAGAATCATCGAAATCGGTTCACCCAGAAAGAAGTTATGAGGTAACGCACATAAAAAAAAATACACACAGCTGAATTGAGTATCTCCTGTTTGAAGTCGGTAGAAAATAATATGTATGATGACAAATATTAGTTACTACATGAAAAAAAAATCTCTAAGCTTATATATGTTGTATACTAGCTTTCCGCCCCGCGGTTTCACCCGCGACATTATGATTTGAAGTTTTCATGTTTTCCCGTGGGAATAAGTTATTATTCTCCGGTAAAAAGTATCCTATGTGTTATTCCAGGTTATATTCTATCTGTGTACCAAATTTCATACAAATCCGTCAAGCCGTTTGAGCGTGGAGAGGTAACAAACATACACACACACACACGCACTAACTCGGATTTATAATATTAAGTAATTAACTATGGATTCAATAATATATTAATTTTTATAAATATTATGGCTTAGAAGCAGACCATAATCGTTGCACAATAAGTTCTCTTTATTGCCGACCACTAGCTAAGAGCTGTTGTTCTGCACCAACTACGACACCCTGCAGTGGTTGCTGAGGAATTTGATTATTCTGGTCTTCCAGTGTGTCAGAGCTTCGCAACTGAGGTATTAGCAGTCGATCTCTGTTGCAGATGTTGTGCAAGACAGCACAGGCATTTATAATTTTAGTCACCATGTGATGGTTATAATGCAGTAACCTAAGTGCCACTAAACATCTCCATCGTGCTTTTAAGACTCCTATGCACCGTTCCACAGTGTTTCTTGTGAGACAGTGCATATTAGTATAATGCTCATATGCACTACCAGGTCCAGAATTTACAATTGGAGTTAAAAGCCAAGGTTTTAATGGATATCCAGCATCACCTGTAAATTTATTTTAATTAATTATTGAATTAGAATATTTACATAATGATAATATTTTTGTTGTTTGGTGTTTGTTGTTCATCGTGTTTCTACAAACGAAGTAACCAGACAGCCTCCTCTATTATGAAACTCTTGGAGATGATGTGATATTTGAGAGTTTTTCCAAAATTTGGATTTTAATATAAGCATCATGTGTAGCACCACCAAAGAAGCATCTTTATCTATTATATTTAAATCACTGTCACATACCTGAAAAGGTTTTATATATATTTAAGTAAGTTTAATTATAAATAATTTAC